ACGGTGTACCAGCTCTAATGCCATGGTGAACGTTTGAGCAAAACATGCTAACTGTTCTGTCTTTGGCTGCACAGACGAGCACAGAACACTATTTAGATTCCCAGCCTCAGAGGAGACAAGAGAGCAGAGGATTTATTGATTTATTTACTGAATATTGCTGCTGCCACACAGATCTAAAATAAACATGCGATTTATTTCCCAGCTGTTTACCTTCACAGTAATAACCGACTGTTTTTGTAACTCATGCGTGTTTTTAACGTAAACTTATGTGTGAATGAGAACTTAGTTTAGTACTGGTATTTTGAGCTAAAACTTCACAGTTATATTCTGGGGACCCCTGAAACTTATATTACATATTGTGAAAAGGGGCATAATATGTCACCTTTAAACACTAGATGTACACAACCGTTCAAAAGTATGTGGTCGGTAAGATTTTGGTAAATGTTTTTGAAAGTATTCTCTTGTGTGCACCAAGGCTGCATTGATTTGATCAAAACACAGTAATATTGTGAAACAGTATTACAATTATTTTCTATTTGATATATTTGATAATGTCATTTATTTCCTGTGATGGCAAAGCAGAATTTTCAGCAGCCATTACTCCAGCCTTAACTTTCTGACCTCAAATTGAAGTATTGTATATAATAGGGGATATAAATACGATAGGAGATATATTCACACGTTATAGAAACGAAAATGATGGTGTATAAAATTGATTTTAAGATAAAAAAATAGACGATAAAGAATTAACTTGACGGAGCTCAAACTCAAAACACCACTGGTAATACCTTCTTGATAATCTTGTACTGCAGTTATATCGGATCAAATGCACATTCTTTTTCTTTAGCTTGGGTTAAACAAATCAATTTTGCTTGGTTGGAACAGCAGCTACGCTAATTATGTCTCTATTTGTTTCTCTGTTTTTGATTTACACAAGCTTCAGTCTGGATCCAGAACACCTGAGAAGAGATGATGCCAACCCCTCAGAGGACCTCAGATGATGCCAACCCTGAAACAACATACAGAACTACCAAATTTTGCTATAAGTTTGATTGCATCATATAATAATTGCTGTTAATAGTGTTCATCGTCTGTTTGATTACGTCTTTAATTGATTTTTCCGTACATTTCTGCCATATGTACATTAACTGACAGTCACCACTGATAAGCTACCACTAAATATTGTAGAAACTTAAGTTGCTGTAAAGTTGCTTTGTGTGAAAATCGGGAAAAGCGCTATACAAATAAACTTGAATTGAAAAAAAAAATGTAATTGAATAAGTACCCTCTGGTCTATGGTGGTGCTGCTGAGGCACATCTTCGACCTGTTCGTTGTTGTTATTTGGTGGAATAATTGCATCGTTATTGTTCTGGTGATTGTTGTTGTTATTGTTGTCATTATCATTGTTGGAATTCTGATTGCTGACCAGGGCAGACGAAACTCCGATACCCGTGCCTGCACTGAGTCCGACACGGGCACAGCCCTGGGGTAAAGAAATAACGTTAACATGCTTCACAACATTTAATCTCCTATAGTCTATATTATATATTTTTTTCTTTTATATTGTAACTTCTTTACTGTTCAAAAGTACACATATTGTGATTACTGTACATATTGTGATAAGAATTATATCAGAGTAAAGACCCCGAACTGTCTGTTTACCACAAATGGTAAAAATATCTAAGTGATAGTGTCCTGGTAATGGTTTTTATGGGTCGACAGCTCACCTTGGGAGGTTCACGAAACATCTGGTCCAGAGAGATGAATTCCAGGCTGGGAAGCATCTCAATGAACTGACTGAACGACTCCAGCTTGATAGCATGACAGCGCACTAGAGTGAGGTCCACCAGTCGACTCCAGCGTGAGTGGTCTTTAACAAAGAACAGCTAATTAGTCAGATTTAAAAACTGGAACTAAAATATGCATTGAAAAACTAGATAGAAATGGTACACTAAAAAAAAAAAATCGGAGTACCATCAAGTCAGGAAATACATAAACAAATGATGATGGATTCATTACCTGTGATCCAGTTGTGTGGATTGTGAAGATGTGGACAGTTATAAATGACCAGATACTTGATAGAGGTAAACACCTCATTAACAGCCTTCATTCCTATGTCTGTGATGATTCCTGGATTCTCGATCACATCAGCAAGACCGTATTTGACTAACTCAGCATGGCTCATGTTACCTGTGTGAAACATGTTTTATTACAGGTAAATGAAAGGTTAGTTCACCCAAAAATCTAAATATTGTCATCATTTACTCACCTTAATATTGTTCCAAACCCATAAGACTGTCATTCATCTTTGAAACACAAATTAATATATATAAGGTATCTGTTCCTCTATTGAAAGTCTGTTCGACCAAAACCTTGACACTTTAAAAAGTTCAGTTCAGTCTTCTGAAGAGACATAAACATTGATACATAAAGCAGATTAAATATGGTAAACGCATGCTCAAATGTTCTTGCTTGACATGTAATTTTATGTCTTCCATGAACTTTCTGATACTTGAAGGTTTTGATGGAATGGACTGTCATTGGAGGAACTGAAATCCCTCAGGTTTCATTAAAAATATGTTTTGAAGATGAACAAAAGGTTTGGAATGAGATGAGGGTGAGTAATTCGTTTTGACTGTTTTTATTGTCCTCATTTGTAAGTCGCTTTGGATAAAATCTGCTAAATGACTAAATGTAAATGTAAATTAATGAGACATTTTATAACAATGACTTACACTGCAACAGAAATTCATCAACATATCCAAGGTGCAAAGTCTCAAACTGAGGGAACTCCAGTTCAGCCATCTTCAGTGCGGAGAACACCCCATCTTTGGTTAAGGAAGGCTGGATTCGAACTTCATGCAACCTGAGAACCAGAGTTGATTCTGTCAACATCTCTAATTCTATAAAGGAATCAGTGTAAGTTTAGCATGCTCTTTGAATGTTTAAACACAGATTTACCTGCGAGCAGCAGTAATGATGAGGTAGCCCAGATCCACTTCAAGTGCATTTTTACAGGCACCAAATACAATTGTGTGCAAATTACGGAACCCTCCTACAAGAGATGTACTTTAGCCAATGTGCCACAGACCTGGAACTTTCTTTTAGCAGTGCACCACTGCATAATTTTTTTCTTGCTCAAAATATGTAAACAAAGCAATATTGGTATTGTATTCACATAGTCAATGAGAAATAGGTATTGCAAGAACAACTTGCACAGTTTTGACTGCCTTTCAATACTATAATATACTGTTCAGCAATTTTAATATGATTCCTATTTGTAAGGAGCTGACAAAATGTGCATCTTACCTGACCTCCAGCTATCCTCCACAACATGCTGAATCAGTCCACCCAAAAAGGGCACCCTCACCAGCTCCAGCTGCTCTAGGTTGCGGGCAGAGGCCAGACCGGTGACAAGAGGCACATACTTCAGAGAATTAGTGGGACCGGCGCAGTTCCTCATGACGAACGTACGCAAATTCACACAGAGAAAGACTTTGAAGGGCTGAGGCTTTGTGAGGCGCACCCATTTCAGGTACAGATGCCTGAGCATGGACAGACAGGGGATCTCCGGCACATTGACACCTATAAGAAAGACAAAGCAGTAAGGTTTGTGACAAGATGACCAAGATTATGTGGAAAACGGTTTTCACTGTGGAACCAATCTGAAACTCACCAACAAGATGGAGAGTCTGGATTTTAGCTGCAGCTGGAATAGTGAGTTTGTTCTCTGAGGGTATAGGAAACGCCCCGTTTCTGTTCCTGAACTTCCCTAGAATGTGAACCTGAGGCATGTAGTTCCATATCGCCTCCACCAGTTCCAAATGCGATGTCTCCACACCCTGTAAGTGCAGATATTGTCCTCATTTTAAACCATAGTTGAAAACAGATTGACAAACATTTTTATAAACTGAAACAACAACTATCTCATATATATCATAGACTCACTATAAGGTTGGGACAGGCCTGTAGAGCCTCCAAAACACCAGGAATGCTCAAGGCCTCATAACCTCTGACCCTCCTTCTCTCTAGATAACGTGGATGAAGACCATACAGCTGCTCCAAATCAGGCATCTTCTTCATTAGCATGAGGAAACTGGAGTCTGTGAAACCTGAGTTACACACATCAATTCACACCACTGAATTAAGGACAAAAACGAAACTGCTCCACTGACCGCCAGTTATTTTTACGCAGTTTGCATTAAGTAGTAATGTAGTAAAACGCAGATATTAAAAGGCGAAATTCAGTAAACATCTTATTATGTATATTTTGTACAGGCAAGCAGATGAAGCCAGAATATAAACGCAATGTGCAAAGTTTCACGTTAAATGGTTTCCCATAGAAAGCCATTAGAAGGAAAACACTGAACCATTAAGCGGATTGCGTTCATATTCCGGCCTCATCTGCTTGTCTATATAAACTATGCCTAATAAATATAGAGAATATTACCGTTTCAAATATATTAAGGCACTTGAAGTGTTTTAACAACGTTTTGTCGCACTGTTTAATTTGATTGCAAATGGGCAAAACTTGCATTTTGTTCACATACCTTTGTTTTATTCTTTTGAGAGGTCTAAATATTTGCGGCTGTGAAACATATGGAAAATTGACAGGTTTGTCCTGCAGTTCTATGGATGTTTTGCCCTCCAGGTCTTCGAGCCGGTCATGTGACTGAAAGCTATGAATTAATCGGCTAACCAGAGATCTCTGGCACTGGCAAATATCTATCAAAAGCTCTGGTAAAAGTTAATAAACACTTTCTGTTTTCAAGTAAAACTGAAAAAAAAACATTTTGATATTTTTGTTCATCTCATTTGTCATCACTAAATTCTTATTATACAGGTAATATACGCAGTTTTTTTAATGAAATGAATAATTTTACTCAGCAATGATGCATTAAATTTAATCAACAGTGACAGTAAAGACATTTTTATAATGTTACAAAGTATTTCTGTTTCAAGTAAATGCTGTTCTTTTGAACTTTCTATTCATGAAAGAATCCTGAAAAAGAAACATTTATCACAGTTTCCACAAAAATATTAAGCAGCACAACTGTTTTCAACACTGATAATAATAAGAAATGCTTCTTGATTATCATATTAGAATGATTTCTAGTCTTGACACTAAAAGTAATGGTGCTGAAAATTCAGCTTTGCCATCACAGAAATAAATCTGTATCTGACATCTTGCATTCTATATATCAGCATAAACCATTTTCAACAACTGGATTTAAGTATGGCAAGAAGTATTAAGTATAGCTGAGAGTACTAGGTAATAAGTCATAAACAGAGCTGAGAGTAGTACACTGAAAGCCTAATCAAAACATTTAATAGACAAGTCTCCAGGGTAGAGGGATGTGGAATCTGTTGGGCAGATTCTGTGCAGAAATGTGAATATGTTATTTAATCTGAATATACACTCAAAGCCCTTTGACAATTCATACCTATTGACCACACATTTATACCAGGTTTAGTTATAAACAGATCTCAGTACTGAAATTTGAGCATTAAGAGTGTCGTCTACCTGAGGGCATGTACTCCCACCACCGGCTGGCACAAAGGTCCACAACCTTCACCACCCGCAAGTACAGAGTCACCGCCTCCCGCAGTTTCCGTGACAGACACTCCATACACATTATGTCCTGCATGGGTAAGTATCTGTGGGGAGATGGACTTACGCATCATAATTCAAGTCAATTATACACCGTTGAGTTAATCTATGACAGCTCTGTCAAAAATCTCTGGAAATGAGAATAGAATAGCAAGGACCTTAGCGACCCTAATTAAGACAAACGTTTAGGAGAATGGATTGACAATTATAGCACACTGGTAATACATTTGCTAACTACTGTACTAACTAGTGGTGGAATGTCGGGGTGTTGTACTGACCGGAATATGTGGCAGAGCACCTCATGTGAGAGCTCGTTGATATAGTCTTTAGGTTCCTCATGTCCAAGAGAGCTAAATGTTCCTCCCCCCAAACTATGAGTCCTGGTGACCTTTCGCCGTGGGCCCATCATGTCCAGGGCAGTGAGATATCCACCAAGTGAAGGCAATAAACTCACTCCCTCTGTCCTGATCCTCTTGTTTGGGGCATCAACACACAATCATCACGTACTACATCAATTCAACATCTATAAGACAAAGAAATAGGGGGTCACTTTCACATTACAAGTAAATACATCTAAACTATCATAATACAAAATGAACATTTCACATGTGTCAAAAAACACAAAACTAAACAACAGCTCAATGAGGTGAAACTGAAAAAAGCCCCCAATGACAATGGACATACATCTAAACCAAAATGGCTGTAACACATTGGATCTATGATATGATTTTAACAGTGGTAGTTGAGAGGCATCATGGCTCAAATAAAGAAGAGCTGAGCCGTTCAGTGATCAGCAGCATGTGAGGAGATGATGCTGTTTCAAGCTGTTATGATCACCAGCTCTAGCTAGCTATCAGCTGTTAGCAACCTCACCACTGTTTTATAAAGATATAGACCTAAAAGTGCTGTAACAGGACCTTTAAGAAGACGCGTTCAGCAGAAATCTGTCCATTTATGTCCTCTAGTTTTCAGTCGAGCTCATAAATGCGATTTTTGGTTAGTTTGAAGGTGAGCAGCGGCAGCTGTCTGTCTGGATCCTCGTTCAGTAGCGATGTGAAGCCAGCGTTGGCCTTCCAAACACAAACAGGAAGTTCAGATTTATTTTTCCTTTACAAAATAAAAGACGCGAATAACAGGCGAATTGATTTAATGTATTGCTCACGATATATTCTAGTATAGGGAATATATTCTAAATTAAAAAAAATAATAATAATCGTAAAATTACCCATAGGAGGTTTTCTAAAAAAAAAAAAAAAAAAAATTATATTTAGGAGATGTAATTTCTAAACGGGAAGCACTAAGTTTCTAAACGGGAGATTTCCTTATTGATATCGGATGTCTACAGACAGTCACAGTACAACACAGACCTAACGTTACACAAGTTCAGTGACAATATGTGTGATTATTGTATGTGCACATTCTGCAGTCAGCTTAAAAAACGAGATGAAAGACAGTCAGGGAGACAAAGGTATGGCTAGTAGAGAACTTTTTTTTTTTTTTTTTTA